GTTTGGAGGGGTTAAAGTTGGGGCTGGGTTCGTTTGGAGGGGTTAAAGTTGGAGTTGGGTTCGTTTGGAGGAGTTAAAGTTGGGATTGGGTTCCTTTGGAGGGGTTAAAGTTGGGATTGGGTTCGTTTGGAGGAGTTAAAATTGGGGTTGGGTTTGTTTGGAGGGGTTAAAGTTGGGATTGGGTTTGTTTGGAGGGGTTAAAGTTGGGATTGGGTTCGTTTGGAGGGGTTAAAGTTGGGGCTGGGTTCGTTTGGAGGGGTTAAAGTTGGGGCTGGGTTCATTTGGAGGGGTTAAAGTTGGGGCTGGTGGGTTCGTTTGGAGGGGTTAAAATTGGAGTTGGGTTCGTTTGGAGGGGTTAAAGTTGGGGCTGGGTTCGTTTGGAGGGGTTAAAGTTGGGGCTGGGTTCATTTGGAGGGGTTAAAGTTGGGGCTGGGTTCGTTTGGAGGGGTTAAAATTGGAGTTGGGTTCGTTTGGAGGGGTTAAAGTTGGGATTGGGTTCGTTTGGAGGGGTTAAAGTTGGGATTGGGTTTGTTTGGAGGGGTTAAAGTTGGGGTTGGGTTCGTTTGGAGGGGTTAAAGTTGGGGCTGGGTTTGTTTGGAGGGGTTAAAGTTGGGGCTGGGTTCGTTTGGAGGGGTTAAAGTTGGAGTTGGGTTCGTTTGGAGGAGTTAAAGTTGGGATTGGGTTCCTTTGGAGGGGTTAAAGTTGGGATTGGGTTCGTTTGGAGGAGTTAAAATTGGGGTTGGGTTTGTTTGGAGGGGTTAAAGTTGGGGTTGGAGGCGCTGGGATGGTGTTTATGTGCCCCCCAAATCCAGCACATCCACCCCAAAATTCATTTTGTGCCACTGAAATTCCAGCCTGCTCCACAGAAAGTTCAATTTACACACCCAAAATGCAGTTTACACCTCCCAAAGTCCACGCCAAGCACCCAAAATTCAGTTTGTGCCTCTCAAAGTCCAGCCTAAGCACCCAAAATTCAATTTACACCCCCAAAATTCAGTTTACCCTCACTAAAACTCACCGCAGTGCCCCAAGTTCCATCTTAATCCTTCTCCCAGT